AAAAGCTTCATAACTGTGCCAAAGGATTTGTTCTTCACTGCCACAAGAATGAATCGAAGTATGTGAAGCAAAACATTGAAAGATCATTCGCTCGCAATCGAGCTTTTCAACAACGCAAATACTGCCACGGCATGAACTTTCAGCTTTCATACCCATCATTGAAGCGCAACAAATGTAAAGATACATATTTGTTGGAGAAACAGAAATGCGAGGAAGACTACGTGATGAGTTATAGAGCGAACAAAGCAGACAAGTCTCTATGCCGGTAAGTGGTTTTGGCTCTAATGACTGTTTCGTTTCAAATTTTAAAATCAGGAGCGAAATTTGCGTTATTTTGTCCAGCTGCGTAAAAATATGGTCTTAACATAAAACAGCACGGAAAAGCTTTGTTTGAAAGTAAAGATTCAAATGGACATTTATTTGAAAATTGTGGAGTATTTAGAGTTGAAAACTAAACCATGATAGCGATCCGTGGGCAGACGAAACAAACATAAATAACACAACAGACCAATGAGAATACGAAACAAATTCACGTGACTTGCGCTAAGCGCGGGAAAACGCGCGTTGCCATTTGGTTTTACTTTTGCATCATTCTGATTGGCTGAGTAAAGGTATGAGTTTTTTTAACCAGTTACAGTGCGAAGTAAAGCAACACAGAAGCAATTAGGGGTGAAGCATTTGACTTTTGAAGGGTACGGTGAGGGCTTGCTGTGGGTGACTTGGTACACGAGGCACGAAANCTCATATTTTTTAATCATATGCAATTGTAAGCGCATTGAGAATTCTAAATGCGCAATAAGAACCTTTTTATTATTACTGACTTTATATTTAATCGATTCTTTCACAGGAAATACGCAGAAGCCAAACGATGCGCAAAAAATGCCACTCTTGCGCTCTGTGAGGACACGCCACAACTCCGTGATGAGGTTAACTTCATTTATGATAGGTTCAACCCATTCTGTGTTTCCCTCTCCGACCCACTGGCCGGCAAGGGGCCTGGGGAGCGCCTACCGCGTGAGTCTGGGCCTCAGCGTCCTTCAAAAGCCAGCACCGTTCCATTAATCGGAAGAAGTGACAGCATCTCCAGTGCAGCTCAGCCAGTCACTGCTAAACTCTTAACCTTTGTTTTTTCCTTTTACCTC